ACACGTATTAAAAACGTTATGGTTCTTCACAGTCAACACTAAACCTACCATGCACCGGTCGAATAACCATTTCTAATTTCTTCTACAAGAAATAAAAAGAAAACGAAAATTATTTAATCTAGTACCAAACAGTCAACATTAAATCGTACTAAAATTAAAAAAATGTAAGTAGAGCACATTAGTGTACACTTTTAGAACGTCTAGTGTTAATTATTAAAATCTTCATACAATGAAAATTAAAAATCTGCGTGTTTAGTGTTTTACTATTTAAAATACAATACTGATTCGATTCTATCACATACATATTTAGTTCGGTACATATGTACGTGACTGCTATGTAAGTCAATAAGAAGTATTTAATGAGATTGTAAATTAACTCTATATGTACAAGTCATTCATTAATACAATGCAAAACTTATAAAATACACTGTGGTTCAGAGCATTTATACAAATCATTTTGTTGAATATGGTTCATCGTAATATTTAATTTAATTTGAGAATGTAGATTTGAATAAGTGTTAGTCGGCTACGCTATCATGAAAATTTTATGTCTGTCTGTATTCATAACTGCGTCCCTATCTGTATCTGTATCTACATCTGCATTTATATCCGTACAGTATCTCTGTCTATATCTGTATCCGTCTCCGTATCTTGTATCTGTATTTGCCTGTGATCGTATCTGCGTCTATGTCTCAATACATATTTGTATATACAAGCTGGCCAGTATATAATTATCTGATCCGAGGCGAGCACTGTATTTCGCACGTAATAATCCAAGAATGCATATTCGTACATATTATCTACAATGATTAAACTAGTTTTTAATGTAAGCATTGAAGTTCTTCCTGAACAAGTCAATGAACAGCGATTTTATTTTGTTTTGCAGTAACTAGTTATCTCGTAACCTCGACCTTGGTTATCGAGGAAATACGATTACTAATGATTTCAAAATAGTCTCTACTACATAAATCCCCGAAACTGTACAATTCAGACTTCACGGAAGTATTCGAGATATCTTATTCATTACAGGAATACGAGATATTTTACATTAAGCTAACCGAAGACTTATCTGTGTGTAGTGTGAAATTGCATCAGTACTACTTGTGATTTATTTTCTACCATTCGTACCCTTTGTCCCGTGTATCGAGCAACAGTTTTCGCAAGCATTACTCGCGCCTCGTTACGTAATGTGAATTAACAAGGATCTATTAGAACGACTCGCACGTAATACGTGTAAATCCGTGTTGTCCGCGGTACGAACCGACGGTGAACGGTAGCGTTGCATTGTCACTCGAAAATTGTACCAAAGGCGATGCCAGTAGGAAGTAACCGTGGAAGAGCACGGATGCATTAAACTGGCGAACTTGCGACAGTCGTGACAAATGGCTCTTGGGGCCGTTCCTGCTACTATACTAACATCATAATGAAACTCGTTCTACCAAAAACGTCGCGGCGCATAATTAGAGTTCTTTGTGGGCCACCCGGCCGCGCGTAATTATTCTTAACTTGTACAACAAATTATCCGGTTTATAACGGTCGGCTAACAATAAGAGGAGGAGGACGGAACGTTACGTTGGCCACATCGGCGCGTGTTAGAGCAATTTACCATTACCGCTAGTCGAACATAATCGGGTCACACATGGCTGATAATGTCAACAACGCCGAGCTTATTTACAAGATGACAGATGGTGGCGGAAATGTTACTTACCGTCTGGAGTACGAATCATGGCTCCGTTACGTAAATCGTTTAAACATGTTCGTTTTTGAGGTCGTTGCATGGCACGATAGGGACAACATTTATAGTCGCTATCTTGCGAATCTTCGGAACCATGTAAATGTCACCCGACTCATTTGCTATATTTTCACTTATTCACCTTATACCGTCTCCTATGCGTGCGCCAACAGTACTCCTCGACCATAAATTACCGCGTCATCGCACCCCAAGCATAATCGAGATACAAGCAAATGGATCAAATCCCATCGTGTGACAAACGCGCGTGTACGACGAGAAACCATCGACACATCGGACAAATGGATATTCACTTTTAAAAGTTGCATGACCCGATGCGATTACCATTCCCAGCTGGGCTAGGAGTCGTAGGCGGCGAGCCAGCGTCAGATGACGCGTTCTCACACGAGGGACGACCCTCGCTTCGTCTCATTTGACAATATCTAGGGAATGGAAGGCCATCGACAGGGAGGAGGTAAGGTGCGAGACGGAAAGTACTCTTTATAATGAGTCTTCAACAATTCGTATGTCGAAAGTGGTAAAACGAAAATTATAAGTCTGTAGAAACAGTTTCGTGATTACTCATTTTTACTGAAATATGCTGGTTTCATTATTAATATGAAAATTTTTGTAATCTATGCAAAGATGATAAGCGAACACCTGTTTCATGAATCTCTGCAATACACTTATGATTGACAGAGGACAAAGTTTATTTATAATTAAATTTTTATTGGGTTTCCATAGAGTGAACGACAGTAAAAAAATACCCAAACTGATTTATTTATTGTTTTTATTAAAAGAAACGTTTGAAAAGTTTAGTGATATAAGTTGTCAGAGTTTAAAATAATGTATTCAAGTCAATTAAGATGCTGTATATATGTATCTACTGATCTATCAGTAATTCAGTAATCTTAATCTACAGTAATAGTATATTTTGAAACTAGTAAGATTAGTACGATTAGCTGTCGGTTTAAGATTATGAATTATTTGCGCTTCTAGTTTCTAAGATTAGGAGTACCGGTCTACGAATCATCATCTAATCACGTTTCCAATGTAAGACACGTCTATTTCTGATAATTTATTCACGGCGTTCTGCGCTAAAGAGGACTCCAAAAATAATCCGAGGAGAGAATGTAATTCATCAATTGATAGGAAGCAAATAGAAGGTGAACGAACGACAACGTCGACGACGTCGACGACGACGACGGTGCGGCTCGACGGAGCAAGCTAGACCAGAGTAGGTAACGCGAAGCCAGAGGGGGTGGTGAGCGTTGGTGGCGCCTCCAAGCGTCCTGGCCGTGATAACAGGGGGGCGGACGGATGCGAGGCGACGCGATGAGGCGACGGATCCGTCTTGCCTCAGTCGACGTCAAGCCGTCGCGACGCGTGCGTGTTCTCTTTTGCCGGTTTCACGAAGCTCGCGGGGCTCGCGTGTCTCGTATACAGCGTGACTGGTCTCATCCGTGTTCGCCCACCTGTTCGCTCCAGCTAACCGATCGCGAGCAGTTTGACTACGACCCGTTGTTTCGTACACTAATCGTTGACCGTTCGGTTGGTGCACGTGCATTATTGTCGTCGTAAATTCCCGCCGGGGTTACACGATTTTTAGGGGTTCTCGCGAGTGACGTACTCGCGGCGTAGATTCGCGGTTGGGATTCACGCGGCGCGTGTGTGGAAAACGGTAATCGTGTTTACGTGTTTTGGTCTCGGTTAAACTGGAGCTGTGCGTGATAGCTACGTATCCATTGAAGGAAAGTCGCACGGAGTGAGGAAGAATCTTGTGCCGGTCGCGTGGAAAGTCAGTGAGTCGATCTACTTGGTGATAATAATCAGTGTGAAACATCCCTTGGATTATGACAGTCGGGTATGTACAGACTTTCGTCTAACCTCTGTTACAGTCGCGTTGAAGTCACGGACAGGTTTCACTGATATTGTATATTACATATTATCGGGTTTCATATTTACAAGTGAGGTTACTGCTCGTTGTTAAATTATGTTAGTGAATTCTTGTAAAGAAATAGTTGACAGTCGGTGATTTCAATTTGACTGTTCATATCTGTAGTGGAAGTCAAGGCGGTTTCAGTCGTTCGTGTTTAATGTCATTCGGTCGTTTCCCGAATATTCGTTGCCGGTGGAATCGACGTACGAAAGTAAAAATAATGTGCGATGATAGGAGGGATTCGTCAGAGAGATGGTCGAGTTCCCACGTTCCACATTGTCCACGCTTTGCGTTATTAACGCGAATTTCATGTCCGTCCGTGCCACGAGTTATGGTTTTAACTTCGAATGCATATAACTTTAAAACGCGATAATACGTAGTACCGGCAATGCGAAGTTATACTTCGCTCCATTTTCATAAAGATGAACGACGTCCCGATATGTTCTCGAGTTTCTCATTAGTGATTCGAAAAAATATCGCTGTTTATCTAGCGACAGTTTTATCGCCTGGACTTAGCCTGGAAATTAGCTGCATCAACCGATTAACGTTTCCACTTTGGAGTTTTACTGGGGAACTCGTTAATGTTTCAACACCAGGCTTGTTTATCTTTGGACAAGTGTCAAGTGCTTTCACTCGGGGCAAATTTACAATATACACGGCCGGACCCGGCCTGATGTACGCAAAAGACCATTGAAATTTAAATAGATCATCGTATGTACAGGCACCTTCATCAGCTGCGTTTCGTAATCGATGCGACGTGTTTCTTTTTCTTTCCTCTTGATATATACATGATGAGTAGTCGAACTTGGAGCGTGTCTAACGAAACGAGTCGCGTACTCCTCTCTCTCTCTTTCTCGTTTCACCTGTTCTATAACAAAGATTGTCTCTGTCCACGAGGAGCGTAGAGCACGATGGAACGTTTATCGTCGATCGTCGAAAAGCAACGCTCGATGCATGTACGCCGGTGCTGTGTGTCTGTCCGATGTCTGTTCGGCTTTATCCTTTTAATCCCCCTCTGCGTAACGCGTATTAATGACTCTGTCAGTAAGACATAACGATCAGGCCAGTCAACCGTTTACATTGACATCGCCGCTGGCCTTCTCACCTTGACTGGCCCCGGCTCCGCGTTTTCGCAATTTAAGCCGGGGCAACGTATCATCGCGTGGCATCGCGTGTCGCGACTCCCGGTGTGCTACAACCGCCACAACTTTTCGATGTTACACATGGCATCGTCGATCGTCGATGCTAGTACGCGCATAAACGATCTAACGAACGCTAGAGATGGCGTTAAAAATCACTAACTGTGATTTATCACAGTGATCAGAAAATCACGATCATATCTCGTGATTATTTGAAATCACGACCGTCATCGCAATTTTTTATATTGAATGGGCTTACTATATAAAATTCATAGTTTCTGTTCATATCTACTGACCTAAAGATAACTTTTGATTTTAAAAAAGACATACTCAATATGATTTTAAACTAATTACATTTGTAGCTTTAAACATTAGTAAGAAATAAAGAAATCCATAACAAAATTATTCCTTCTATTTCCATAATACTATATGTATGTATATTATTGTAATTTAATACTCAATATTAATTACTTAATTTCAATACTCAATTGTCCCTCATGATTTCCAATACGACTTATTATCCCTTGTTATTTTATTTCTTTCTGTAATTCATACTTTTACTTTAAAATTTTTGAATCATTATATCTACAACGTAGAGATTAGTTAATAATTGTAGAAATTCAGCGACGGTTAGAGACGTCAGTCATTTGATTATTACAATTACGGAGATCATGAATGATCGTGAATCATTCGATCATGTATGCTCGAGACTTCAGATTATTGGGCACGCCATTTTGTCGCGTGCAAGAGAAAATAGTATATGTACAGAAAAAGAGAAAAGATCAGGGTGGCAATGTTATTTCTCTTGAATGATTTAAATTCAAAAGAATTAGTATCACTATCCTGATCTTTTCTCTCTTTCTAATGCGTACCCTCTTTTACGGCTGTCTCCCCTACTCTATATCTATTATCTCTATGGAAAAATCACGGTGATTTGGAACGCACGTGATCGAATCATTTGTGACCCAAAAGTTGCAGTTTACGCCATCTCTAACGAACGCGCGTGGTATTGCTCGGGCGGCCTTGAAACTCCGATCCGATCGCGTATGTGTCATTGGCGTGCAGTCGAAACGGTATCGATATTATTAGGCCGGTCGGTCGACATAGTGGTTGTTACGAAAATTTGTCAACGGTTTGCGTCACGTTCCTTATTTTACAGTTTGTTTCGTTTGGCAGCGGCGTACGCGGCTATCGGTTTTCCCCTTTGCGTTGCACAATACTCGGTCGTGAATTACTGTTCACCTAAGTACGCATTCGCGCACAAAGAGCCGATTGTTCGATATTTTATACGGCATGAAAACATTACCGTTCGAACGTTGCCTCAATGGAAACGCGTCGAGTCGTAATTTTATTGCGATAACGAGGTTGTTCCTGGTACCGGAGGATTTTATTCCTAAAGGACAGCTCTTGACTACATATTTAGTATTCCTGCGCGGTCAGAAATGGAGCAGAATCTATGCATTCTTAATTCGAAGGCCGTTAATTGGGTCGCACATGTTGTTTCTCATTACCATTAATTCCTGAGTCTATCTATCGATAAAAAAAAACAATAACTGGATTTAGTTTTAATATTATAATC